TAGATCCTCTTCAGTGATGACAATCTCAGGAAATGTATATTTGGACGGCCGTTCTTGGTGAACGGAATTTACATCTAACCGCCTTATATTATCTTTGTTGCCCCTAATAGTGGGGCCGCCTCCTGAGAAGCCGCCCGCAATGGTGTAGACGACTGCATCATCTGTATCGGAGCTGTCGGCCTGTTGATTCTTTTTGGCCGACTGCTTTTTTGAGGAAGTGTTCCCCGTAGATTTCTTGACATAAGTGTCAAGATCACCTTGCTCAGCCAGGCGGTCTAGGTGCCGCATGAGACTGATGCAGTCATTGGTGTGATGACCAACGTCATCATGATAAGCACAGATTTTATCTTGGTTCCGGTTGTTTGCAGAACCCTTCATGGGGACCGGCTTCTCAATTGAGATCCGTCCCTTTATTTCTTTTAGGATACACTGGTTATCCTTGTTAAACACATACTTTGGGGAGTATGGTTTGAATTCTTTTTTCTTTTTCTGGGCCGGCTGTTTAGAGGAATCAGCCGCCCAGACCTCTTTTCTTTTCTCATCTTTATTAGACGACTGTTTCTGTCGTCCTTCTCTTTTGTCGAACCTTTTCCCGTCCGACTGTTTTATCGTACACAGATCAGTCGCCTGTATATAGGCTTCTGCTTCAATCAAGGCCTCTTGAAGAGTCGCCACCCTTTTTCGAACCAAATCAAATTTGAAGGTAGACCCGTCTTTGAGACCTCTAAAAAAGTCAGTATAAGCTACCTCATCCGGTAACCCTTGAATCTGTATTCTCATCAGGTTGAACCGCCTGATGTAAGAACGAAGCCCCTCCTTCTCGCCCTGCTGAATTGTTCCCAAATCAAGGGTCGTTTTCTTCGCAGGGATGTTCATGGCGAAGTTGGAGGCAAATAAGTAAGCAAGCGTCCTGAAGCTGTTTACACAACCAGTCGGCAAGTTGCCGAACCATTGCTGTGCGATTCCCTTAAGAGTCGCTGGGAAACACTTGCACCAAGTGGGATCATCCAACCCTTGAAGGTACATCAGGTTGGTGAATGCCATCAGATGGTCTTCTGGGTTAGTAGTGCCGTCATAGGCGCCTACTAGTACATTTTTTACTTTGGCCGGCTGAGCGGCGTCAGTAATTTCCTTGGAGAAGGCCGACAGTTGTTCACCAAGTCTAAGCAACCGTAGCTGGCAGTCCATAGGTTGGACATTTTTTGCTGCAGGTCCACCAAATGGAGGTGGCTGCATAAAATACTGTTGTTGCGGCACAAATGGTAAGTTTGGTACCGCCTGGGCACTATGAAAGCCGGACTGACGGGAGGTGCCGCCTGACTGACTCTCATGGTACGACTGAGTATGCCTCATCGAGGCATTTCGCAAACTGTCTTGAAAGTCCGAAGTAGAGGCCGACTCGGACAATCGGTCACTCTTCTTCTGCTCTAGCAGTAGCCGAGCATCTGCGAACGTTTGCTTTGACCCGTCCGCCTGAATATGACGAACCGGTTTCCTATTTCCTGTAGGATAACGGAATTTTGTGAAATCAAGGGCAGGTGGCTCCCGCTTCCTAGATTTAGGATGAGGAGTCGCCTCTCGCCCTTGAACTGGCTTCCTCTTCAGTGAAGTGGAAGGTTTCTTGGCCGACTGCTCCTTGACTGAAGCAGGTGACTTCTTGTTGATCAACTCTTGAATCTCTCCCTTGAAGTCCCTCATGAAGGTCATGAGTTCGTTCCTTGTGATGGGAGCAGACCCATCAGTCGGCTGTTGCCGAGCAGGCGGTGCGCCTGCTGGCTCGCTTCCTGTTTGAAGATGCTCCCGTTCCCTCCTTTCGGTATGACGGGTACGTCGGGCCCTTAGGGTCCCGTCTGGAGCTGTATGAGTTTCAACTTCAAATTCACTTTCGGTGTCATGGTCCGACTGAACTTGAGGGTCGTCTAGGGGACGCCTCTCTTCAGGAGTCGGTACAGACTTGGATGCCATCTCTGAAGTACTCTCCCCACAGACGGCGCCAAATGTTTCGGGGTTTTCTGATGTCCTGCGAGAGAGTTACAATTCCGAGACTGGAACCGGACGCCTGTACCTGCAAAATAACGGAGACTCCTGAGAGCTCCGCCTCCAACGGTCAAGTTAGTACCTGATTAAGGAGTAATTAATACGGAAATTAAAGTAATAAGATCTCTCTAGGTGAGAGTGTTTAATGTTGGTAATCTGCTTTGTTAGCGAGATCTGCCGGTTATTAGTGTCTTCTGTAACGCTTCTGTTCTATTCCGTTCTTCAGGTGAGATTAATTGCTTGATCAATTGCCTGATCCCCTTTAATGAGGATTAATTAAGTATTTATAGTCTTGAGAAGCGTGCCACTCTCTAGGTTTAGGGTAAACTAGGGCTGACCGGGCCTCTAGACAGGATTGGGCCTTGTTGGCCGGTTTTCCCATTTGGCATGGGTGGACACGTGGCGTGTCTCAATTGGTCCGTAGAGGACGTATCTGTGATTGACACGTGGCAGGCTCCTATTGGCCTACGTGAAGGACACGTGGCGGAACCTGGTTGGTCCACTTGTCAAACGGTGATTGGTGGATAAAAATCCCCTAATCAACCTCCATTTCATTCTCAAGGCCTCTCATCTTTTTAGTTAGGGATTTATTTTTCACATTAGCTTCTTTTGCCTCTTGTTTAGCCTCTATTGCCTCATTCTTTGCTTCATTGACTTCTTTGCGTAAATTTTCTCCATCACTAAATGTCCCATATAATGATGTTAATAGAAGGACTGACTCCCTTGCCACGATAATGACCACGTTTACCAATGGGCTTAACTTTTGCATAGATCTCTTCATCTATCGGTCATATTTATTTCTCCTGCCTCACGTTGCATAAAGAGATCTTTAATTTTTTACTGTATAAAAAAATATTAAATGTAAGATTATACAAAAACGGGAAAAACTAAAACTAAAAACACTAATATTTACAAATGAAATCAATTAATTATATACTAGATTGATCCTACAAATAAAATGTATCTTTACTTCTACATAAATTTGGACAACATTTCCCTTATAATATTACAGAAAACCAACTTTAATATAGTCATTTCAACCTGCTGTCACACTATAAACATAAAACAACTCCAACATCATTTCAATCACAACACATATACCACCTCCATAATTTACTTTCAGAATACCTTTAATAATATTTGAATTAAAAATGAAAATACAATGAATTAAGTTACTGATAGGATTTGTTCATTAGCTTTTGTAATACATTATAGATATAGTATGATTTTTCAATATTATTCTTACTATATGCACTATGTAAATTCTTACCATGGTTTCTTTTGCCACTTCAGTGATAGGTGCTTTATCACTTTTAGAATGAGTTTCCTCGTATAAATCCAACATGCTTTGCACTACTTTGTCACGATTGAACTGATATCATAAAAAGTCACATCATAAAATTACTTTATTTGCAAAAAAAAAGAAAAAAAAAAAAGAGTTTATCATGTCTTCGGCTTTTTGAGCAAAACTCTTTGTCCCAGCCGTGTGTCCAACATCTTGGTAAGATCGATTGTCAACATTTCTTATACTTATGGCCTTTAAAATATGAAAAGTAACATATAATTGATGTCCAAAACTAAAAAAGAAAGAAAGAAATATATAATAACATTATACTATACCTTAAATTCTGTTGACCCAAAATATTCAACAAGCCATTTCCAGTCATTTTCATCAACGTTTGGAGGCATATTTTCCTCTTTAAGTCGATCTTCATCTGTACCAATTATATCATAATAAGTACTTTTCAATCTTGAGCGATAATTCCTATACTTCTTATTCAAAGATTCCATGATAAACTTTTTTCTTTCTTTTAACTTCTTTTCACGTTCCTCTTCATCCTCAAGTCCTGTATCAATTTTTTCCTTTACACTACATACAAATGTAGTTATTAGGGCCAAAAACAAAAAAAAAAAAAAAAAAAAAAAAAAAAAAAAAAAAAAAAAAAAACCTCAAGAAAAACATAATCTATTTGTAACAAGGTATAAATTTTTTTCAAAAAAAAAAACCAGAACAAGTTGCCACATCTTCTCCTTATTTTCTTTCGGAATCTATGAAAATACTTTCACCTCATAAAGTGGAACATTAAGAGGATCTCGTACAAGGGCAGCACAATAATTTGCCAAACAAGCCCTATTTACACCAATAGGCTGAACATTTATGTTAAAATCCACTTTTTTTTTTTCTCACCAGGTCTCATTTTTGCCATTTGAAGATTTCTTGTAGGGCCTCTAGGATTGTTAGTCTTATAAGTTTTTCTCTTTTTTTAGTTCCTATAATATAAAAACATTATGAAATGTATTAATTCGTGCATTGTAAATAAAAACCATTGAATAAATAATAAATATTACCATTGTTGTCTTCTCCTTCATTTATAGGTATTTCATCAACATATTTTCTAATCATGTTTGCATTATTGAAATCTTTTTGTCCTTCTAAAGTAATGTCGTCTCTTGTTTGATCTAAACCGTTATCACCTTCTCGACCTTGCAAATCATTATCATTATTGTTTTCAGAGTGTTGCGCTTCATCTCGTTCTATACCAAGTACATTTTGGGGCAGGTTAGTAGAATATGCCAAAATTGAGAAATCACATGAATATTTTAAAATGGATGATTGTATAATGAAAATAATAACATTAATAATAAATTTACCTTGAGATCGACAACTACTTTCATTATCATTTCTTCTTACAAATCCTAGCAAGTATTAAAATTGAAAAATTCATGAAATATTAATGCATATCTTGATTGTATATGAAATTTATAAATATAAGTGTATAAAATGAAACCTTGTATACCACTTTCGGTTTTATTAGCGTTTTTATTTGTTTGTCTTGCCTGTCATTTTTTATTTGATCTTAATAACCTAGCAATTGACATTGGTGGAATGAGATTGCTCCTTCGATCCATTTCTTGTTCTCATTAATTTTAACCTGAAACTTTTTATAATAAAGAGTAGGTAACCAAATATAAGATAATGCATGATTATTAGATAGTATCCAAGAAAAAACTTTACAAAAATTAAGTCAATACTTTCTTATTTGAAGTCACATTGTGAGTTTCCTTCTCATACTCAACTTCCTCATTCTCATCGGTACATAATTACCATCTTTCTCAAGAGATGCGTTACACTTTTGTTTACTTTTCTTAACTTTTGAGCTATCTACTAAACTTGTTAAAAAAGCAACAATGTGCTTTATGCCCAAAGTCTTCATCCTCGTCTTGTTAGCTTCAATTGTCCTGAGTCTTTGTATTTCATACTCATTTTGAGCTATGTAATTTTCTTTTGAATGAGCCTTTCCTTCTGATCTTGACATATTGGAGCTAAAGAATAAAAACTATTAGAAATCAAAGTTCTAATAAACTACGGTAAGTATGTGCATGAATAAAATCATTAAAATAGTTCAAAACCTTGTAAAATTATTTAAAGAAAATAATATTTTTATTACTGGATTAATTTGTCGATATGATACATTAAGAAACCTTAAATGTCATAAAATTGTCTTATATGTATTTGAACCTACATATAAAAGTAGTTTGTCCACTATTCAACCAAACAAAACAAAATTTCATAATTTAATAAAAGTTAATAGCCAAACAGAGTACCTGCATTGAACTTATGCTTCCCACCCAAAATAGCATCACCCTGACTAAACACTCACCCTTTTCTTTCTTTTCTCTCTACTCCCACAATCTTTCTGTTTTCTTTAATTATCACTCGAATACACATATTTGTTTGAATAATTATTAGTGTTTTGATTATACAAAAAAATAAATTAAAAATGATGGGTTATATGAGAAATATGGACCCTCAGTCGTAGCCGAGAGGGCGGTTCGATAATCGGGTACGGGTATGGCCTTACGACAGATCTCACAAAAATCATTAATCTACACATATTTGCTCAATATTCAACCAATAATAAAAACATTCGTTATAGTATAATAGTAGACCGCAAACTTCAAAGTTGATACATTTTATCATTCAATTAAAATTCCCATTTAAAGTAGTTTAATTTAAAAACTATAAATAATAACAATAAATTCGTAGTTCAATCTAGAAATTTAGAATACTATCATATTCAAAATAATTAAAAAATAACCAAAAAAAATTACTTCTATTGATGAATTAAACATATTAATTACCTTCGACGGTGATAAGTACTCCAACAAATCAAATTCGACTGCTTCCAATCGCTATTTTCTTCGTCTGATCTCTCTGAATTCGATTAGTAAGATTTAATGTAGATCTAACTTTCGAGATTGCGTAGTGTAAATTTGTAGAAGGAAAATTTAATAAAAAAGGATAGACAAGGGGATTATTTACCACATATTTGTATTTTAGTTGTGAAAATTTTAGGAGGGAATAACAGATGAAAATAAAAAAAAAATCCCTCTCAATTTTTGGGGTTAATTCATTTTCGAAAATTTTACTATTTTGGATCATATTTCCGGCAGAGATGATCAAGAATTTTATTATTTTCCATTTTTTTCCAAGTTGTTGAAATTGAAGATAAGGTAGGATGATTTGGTGGGTTGTTTGCTTCTTTTTGGGGAAATAATGGCAGAACATAGGAAGGGCTTTGTTTAAGGTGTTGGGTTTTTTTTTTTTTTTTTGTTATTTTTTTATTTGTTTGGTTTCCTTCGTTTTTTTGTATGGGATGGGAAAAGATTGAGATCTAGAGTACAATATACATTATACAACATACTTTCATACATTATACAAAATGAGTTGACTTTTATTGCACTGTTTGTATACTTAATTTGACTAAAGGTTTCTATAAATACATAAAAAATTGTGTTGCTATGTAAAATACCTTTGCATTTGTCTTACGTAAATTATCATTGTATTAAATTTTTATACTTAATATACAATCATTTCTTCACACAAATGTTCAAATTGTTCTGATTATTATGAAATAGAGAAAGGTATTACAAGTATACAATATAAACTCTTGTCTTATGTGTAGTATACAAAACTCAAGTGGTACATAAATACTCCTTCAATGTTTTTTTAAGTGTTAAACTTTGACTGACACGTAATTTTAGAATAATTTAACTAACTTAAATAAATAAGAGTAGTAGTTTATTACTTATTAAATCACTGACAGATTAATTAAATTCTCCCTTTGTATTTATTACTTGCTTCATTTCTTTAGATACGAAAATTATAAAAAAAAACATCAAAGTTGTTAGCTAATGATCCTTACATTTTAGCTACACAAGTTCACCAAGTATTTTATGTCAATGTTGTTTTGAAGCCAAATTGGAAGGTTATTGTTTTGGGTGTTTTTGTCCCTCGGGAGAGTTACAACGCAAAGACTGATCCGGGGTGAGCTGTACCTGCAAAACAAACGGAGACACCAGATGGGTGGTGCTCCGCCTCCGACGCACAAGTTAGAAACTTGAAGGGAGAAAAAAGGTGCGGAAATATAGGTAGGGATCTGCTCTGATTCCAAGCTCAGGATGTCTCTATCAAAGAGTAAATGTGTAATAAATGATCAAAACGTGTCCCCAAAAATAGGGTCATCTCCCTATTTTGAGGGTCTTTAGGATTTGTGCCCCTGATAAGGTCACTGTACCCTAATCAGTGGTGGGCTGCGCCGCTTTGCGGCTTTCTCGGGATTTGGGCCTGAAGGCTGCCCTTTTTTCCTTTACTTTCTGGAGCGACACGTGTTAAGCAGAGATTGGTCCACTTTGGGCCATCCTGAGGCTGACACGTGTCGTCCTCTGATTGGACCACGTGGCGGGGTAAAATTACGCTAAACATTTGCCCCTCACAGATGTGACGTGGCACGCCACGTGGCATCTGTGACATGTGTCACGCTTCGATTGGCGGTATTTTACCATTAAAGAGTAACCGTTCACCTTCCGGGTAAATTACGGAAATGCCCCCATTTTTACCCTCTATATATAGCCGTTTACCCTCATAATTTTGGTACGTTTACAAAAAATTTCTAGAGAGAACTTTGAGAGAGCAGACGTCAGCCGTTTGAGTCAGGCGCAAGCAAGAAAGCTAGTCTTCCAGAGACCTAGCCGGACCCGCCTAGTTTCAGATATTTCTTCAAAAGGTACCGTCTCTGCCTCTTTCAGCTCTTTTTCTTTTTTCACCGCTTGTACATATTTCTTGCAATAAATGGATGCATCACCAACACACACGGCACAGCCTAGGTTAGAGTCCAGCCGGTCACCAGGGACGGCTGAGTCTAGAACTGGGAGTGCCGTCTCGGGGTGTTAGGACCACCCTTTGCCTCAGATTCCGACCAGTTACGTGTCTGTGCAGGACACAATGGCTCGGATAAAGCAGACGGCAACTGATCCAAATTACAAGAGCGAAGGCTCAGGCGGCCAAACGCCTGAGGGAGAAACGTCTGGTCAGGGAGGTCAGACGGCTCTGGAGAGATCCCCTCCGCGCGCCCCTTCAACTCCTGCTGATTCCTTCTTGAAGGAATGCGACCAAGGCGGCGACGAGGCCGCCTCTGCCCCCTTGAATCAAAGTGAGGAGGAGACCGAGAGCAACAGCTCCGCCTCTATCTTTGAGAGCAGTGACGACTTACCCCCGCTTCCGGATAGCGAGGAGGAAGAAAGGAAAAAGTGGAACGAGAAGGATGATCCCTTCAACATCCACGTCTCCTCTAAAGACCGGATCCAAATGGAGGAGAACTTAAAGAATTTTACCCAAATACACCCGCTAGGAGACGGGTATAGAATCCGGGTGCCGCCTGAGAATGGCACCATCGCCTGGGAGAACAATGAACAGAACGTCAACAACTATTTTTGCTGTTATGAGGCGGCGTTCAAGGCTGGTCTCCGCTTTCCCCTTTCACTAGGCGGTGAAGGCAATTTTGAGAGGCTACGGCCTCGGAATCTAGCAACTTACCCCCAACTCTTGGACAAACATTCTGGATATGTTGCCGCCTGCGAGTTTCAGGGGCTTAACCATGGTTGGGAGGCTTTTGCTAGTATGCACTATCTTAGCAGAAGCCCAGGCGGCTGGAGGGCGTGGTACACTCTAACCACGCAGCCTCAATATGTGATGACCTTGGACAAGGTCTCGTAGTTCGATGGCTGGAAGCACAGGTTCTACCTGATGTCAGCCCCAACCAGACGGGAAAATTATGAATTCTGCCTGTACAACAAGAAGCCCGACTTGTCGGGCAGGAAGTGCGCTCTTCCCCAGATCCCAGAGGAAGATTTTAACAAGATAATTGAGGCAGACTTTTTTTGGCCTCACAGACGCAACTCTGTCAACCGGGGAAACAATAAAAGTTCCCAAGAACTGGATCCCCAAGAGCGCCTGGTTCAGGGATGAGTGTTTCCTAGTCGCCTGCGGGCTAGGGCACATGTTTACAAAATGTATGCGCCTGAGTTTATATCCGTCTGTAGTATTTTTCTATCGAAATTGATTTATGATATTAACCAATTTCTTTCTTTTTGCAGAAGAAGCATTAAACATGTTGCACCCGGAGAAAACTCCCAAGCGGTCTTCTGCAACCATCCGCAAAGATCTTGCGGAGAAGGCTGCGGCTGAGGTCAAGGCCAAGGTATCAAAAGCCTGACCCTTTCACAAATTGATCCTTTAAAATCATTTTTCCCGGATGCTAATCCTTAACTTTGGTTATTTTTGCAAGGAGGAGAGGTTGGAAATTCGTTTGAGAAACAACTCAAACGGGCTAGGGAGGAGAACCCTGCCGTTCTCAACAAAATCAAAAAGTCCACCTCTACATTAACTCCTGGTGCCTCAGCCAGGCATTAGCAGATGCGGATAGCGGGGCGATTCAAGAAGGTAGGCGGCAGCATGTGCCTTGACCTTGTCAACCCCTTATCAGCAGCCGCGGGGTTCACCATGCCTGCAAGCGGTTCTCGCTTGGCCGGTTCTGAAGGTAAGAACCCTTTTGAATCCCCGCTTGAGCTGGGGTGGCCTTTACGGGTGAAATCCCATTCTCAACAGACGTTATCTTCAGACGGCCGACAACAAATAGGTGCCGCCTTAGTCTCGCACTCATCACGTATTGATTGTGGTGCAGATCAATCTCCCCGCTGGCAAGACGTCCAGAAGCATGCCAAGGCCATGCTGGAAGCCGTCCGGAAGAGGGATAAGGACAATATCCCTGGGATAGAGACGTTCAATCTTGAACGCATTCTATCCCTTCTGGCTGAGGTAAGAAACTTGCCAATTCAATTTTGTTTTTTCCAAGTGTTTTATCCCGCCTGCAATACTTATACCGCCTGACTTTTTGCAGGCCATGCTGCGGGTAGACGGTCTCAAACGTCCTTATTTCCACAAACGGGAAGAGGTAAAAAGGGCCAAGAAGTCCGCCATAGACGCTGATAATATTGCTTTACACTCGACTATCGTAAATGAACTTGAAAGTAAAGCAATAATTATGACACAAGCGTCTAGAATCCAGCAGCTGGAGTCAGATCTGAAGACAGCCAATCAGTGGGTGACGGATGCTGAGACGGCTAAGAAGGAGGTGGAGGAGGCCTAAAGGAAGGCGGACGAGAGCCAAAAAGGCTGGTGAGGCGCTCAAGAAAGCCCAGACGGACCTTGGCACACTTAAAGGTGTTTCCGAAGAGAACACCAAACTGAAGACCAAGGTTCAGAGGCTGGAGAAGGAAGCTGCTCAGGCTTAGATAAACTTTGCAGCAACCCTGGAGGTGGAGCAAAACCGCCTTGTTGTTGAGAGTAACGCTGACAATGACGCCCGAATGAAGATCGCCTGGGCTGCCCTGTACCCGGACGTGGATTGTGGCGTCTGGGCACTGGCTCACAGGTACGCCGAGGACGTGGTGTACTTGAGGGAACAAGGTGAGCCAGAGCCTGCCTCTTTCGAAGCCTGGGTCAACTCCAACAACGAGCCGCCTGCGCCTGAGCTTCCTGGTCCTGGTGAAGCACAAGAGATACCCTCAGACGATGAGGAGAAGGAGGACCAGGAGGCACCGTCTGCAGGCCAGAAGTGACCATTCAGCGGCAGTGTGCCAATCTCTGCTTTTTTATTTTTTCTTTTATTCAACGGTTGTATGCCAAAACTTGCTTTTTCCAGCCTGCGTGCCGAGTATCCTTGTATTTACCGGCTGTGGAGCCGTGTTAATTAACAATTTCTTTCTTCCGGACGGGGTCCAGTTAACATTTTAATCCACTACAACCGTTTGGTTGGGTGGACTTTATTAAATGCACCGACTGAGTCGGTTTTGATCATTTTGCATCTGAATTTTTATTTTGTGCAAATTTTAATTTTTCATTTTTTTCTAACTTATCAAAAGCATGCGGCGATTTTTCATTTTTGCCTAACTAATTAATAGTCCGGCTGTCCTTGCCCCTGGACGGCTGTGTGGTTGGTTTCAAGTGGAGTTGGTTGATTGAGTTGAAAACATCTGAAGCTGTAAAGAGCATGATATGTTTGCAAGTCAATCAATCACAATAGTGATTGCCCTAAACCAAGTGCACATCCGTACACCGATAGGCGTTCCAGTCACTACATAGACAGCGTTTGTCCGTCTATGTAGAGATTTCATAGCCATTGAACAACTCTTTTGCCCCAATTGGGGTGGGAAGTGCAATTTTGGAATAGATAACCTAAGTGAAAACTTCAGCCGGTGACCGACTGATGCCCCATGGC